TGCACCCCCATGCATGTAATAATGGTGTCACCATGGAACACAAGGCACTTCTATCATATCATACCCTTTTGCAGACAGACAGAAAGACACACACACACACACACACACACACACACTTCTAGTTCTAAGGCAGTCACAGATGTATGTCTGTCTTTAGATTTCCCTGTTCAGTCTATTTATCAAATAAGTGAAACCACATAGCACCAGCAAGCACCCCTTTGCATCAGCCTTGCTTCATCTACCAAAGAATTTCCAAGATTCACCCTTGTTGTAGCATGCATCAGTACCTTGCTCCTTTTCCTACTGAAAAACATCCCACGGTGTGGACACAGAGTCTAGTGACCCATTTCTCAGATGGTAGACATATTCGTACTGCTTCCACACTCTGGCTATTAATAACACTACCATGAACATGCATGTACAGGCTCCTGGGGGCACATTCTGTCATTGCTCTTGAGAACACATTCTAGAGGGCATTGCCAGGTCACTGGGCGGCTGTGTTTTAAACTGTTTGAGGAAGCATGGCTCTGTTTTCCACAGGGAATGCTCCACGTTACATTCCTATCAGTCATAAACAATGGCTCCAGTTTCTCCGCATCCTTGCCAACCCTCAAAAGCCTCCAACATGGTCTTTATATTATAGCCGTCCCTGTGGGTTAAAGGGCCATCCCATCATTTGCATTTCCTATATAACAAATGAAGCTGAACATATTTTTATGTGGCTATTGGCCACTTATACATCTTTGGAAAAATAGTAAAATCCTCTACCCATTTGTAATTGGGCTGTGTTGTTGAGTTAGTAATAGTTTTAAATTCTAGACATTGAATGCTTTTAAGATATGTGAGGCTGGGCGGTGGTGGCACATGCCTTTAATCCCAGCACTCAGGAGGTAGAGGCAGGTGGATCTCTGTGAGTTCAAGGCCAGCCTGGTCTACAAGAGTTAGTTCCAGGATTGGCTCCAGAGCTACTAAGAAATCCTGTCTCAAAAACCCAAAATCAAAAAATGAACAAACAAAAAGAAGATATATGATTCATAACTATTTCTTTCAATTCCCCTCACTGGTTTTTAGCCCCACCCACACAATGACTTTTCTGCCTCCCTTAGACAAGGCCACTGACTGCCCTCACTGTCAACAGTAGTACCCAGCACTTTCTTTCTTACATATCCACCAGCTGAGGTTTCCTCTGCAGAGCTGGGGCCCAAACACATGTACAAGTAAGATATCATTCCTGTGCGTCAGTACTAGGTAGCTGCCTGAGCAGCATGGTCTAAGGGGCAGAGGTGGCCAGTCTCAGCCCATTTCCAGCTGCTATAACGAATAGTCAAGACTTGATCGTCTATAAAGAAAAGAGGCTGTCTGTGCTCCACAGTTACAGTGGCCAAGACGTCCAAATGACGTAGTGAGGCAGGGCAATAGTGCAAGCAAACTCACAACGAGTAAGCAAAATTGGCCAAAAAAATCCATCAGGGGACCAAAAGCATGGTAACTAATGACGTGCACTACTAGCCAATCACAACACACCAGCAAGGACTGCCAGTTTCAAAAGGACCAACCAGAAATGTTCCTGCAGCAGTTTAATTTCCCTAATCCCCATAACCCCCACCACCACCTTTTTTACAACAAAGAGCTTCTGCATTGGAATCTCTTGGAGTCTGTGTCATTGCCTCTGCATCTTCTCACCCCCTGCCCCCCAGGAAACAGCAATTGCACAACAGGGTACAGCAACAAGTCCACAAAAACTAAAACTTCAACATATTGCTGGCTCCTGGCTGTATTACACTGTTACCACATCGGGAAACCACAAGTCATCCATGTGGCAGTGACAACCATCAGCTATAAAACCATATGTGCTATGACAAGATTTTGAAATAGTTAACCTTTTAGGCAAATCTAAAACATCCATTTAAAGAGCAGGAAACCCACGTCATGAGCAGCATGCCGATCCTTCCAAACACATGGGCTTGCTCCTAACAGGAAAGAGTTCAGGAAGTGGGTGCCTGGTTCTCCATGATCAACCATGTCCTTAGTGGGCTGTAGTGGGTAACAGTGGCTGTCAGCTAGATAGGATGGACAGTCACCTTGGAGACAAACCTCTGGGCTTGTGTGTGAGCAAGTTCCTAGACTAGGTTAATTGCGGTGGGAGCCCTCACACTAACTGACTGGTACCAGTTCACAGACTGGGATCCCTAATGGGATAAAAAGGGACAAAGGAGGCGAACAACAGCATTCGTCTCCGACTGCTTCCTGACGGTGGTTGCAATGTGACCTGCCACCTCAAGTTCTGGTTGCCATGACTTCCTCGTCACAACTGACTAGACCTTCAAACTGTGAAGCAAAATAAGACCTTTTGCTCAAGTTGTTTTTGTCTAGTTCTTTCTCACAGCAACAAGAAAAACAGCTAAGTCATGTCCATAGGGGCCTGGGTTCCCACTCCCAGCACCAGAAGAACACCTCTCCTCCCAATCAACAAGAACAACAAAACCACAGACAAATGGTCATTTGTGCCCTGGAGACCATGTGATCATAGCTTTGCCTTCAGTGGACTCCCCCACCTTTATTCCCCCTGAGTTTCTCCATAAGTCTTGAACACACAGGCTTGTCAACATTCTCTTATTGTCTACAGCTGCTCATTTTCCCTAAACAAAGGTAAATTGTAACAGAGTGTCAGCAAGAGCCCGAGGGAACAACACACTGCTTGCAAACACAGGGACAAATGGCCAGCCTGGTGACTTCCGTTTCACAGCAGACATTTCTTACGTGTGCCGTGATTGGCCACAACAGGCAGATGTTATAACTTTCTGTTTTTCCACGGAGGAGACGTCACTTAGTCAAAGAAACAGACACCAAGCAACCACACCTGCAGAGCATGGAAGGCCTGCACAAGGGGCCCACACTCCTGGGACTCACTATCACCTTGAAAGGGAAATTGGCAGCTGCCTTATCTGAGGCATCAAGGCATCAAGGAGGATCAAGGGGCATCAGAGAAAAAAGGCCACCTAAGGCAGCCACTTGCTTATTTGTCAAGCACTTTGAAGGAAAAATGCTGCATATATATATATATATATATATATATATATATATATAATCAATACTGATAGTGTGATAAGGCTCTGAAGGCCAGTGTCTGCTGGCGGAGGCTTGACCAGCAGGACTGCATAGGCATCCAGCTGGCCATCAGTTCACTTAATGAGTGTGCCACGAGCCCCGCCACAGGCAGAGTGCTGGTCACCATAGGACATCTTGCAGGAGTAGAGGTGGGCCTGCAATACTCTCGCTGCAAATCTTTGCGTGGTTGGTTCCAGCACAGCTTTCTACGTGTCGGGTGCTCTCTGGTGTGTTTGCTGTCTGTCTCCTGTTTTCGTAGCTCAAGATCTATGCGAGCACGGGGCTTGCTGCTCGTGGTCCCCTACTCTCCAGCACCTGGAATCATGCCAAACACAGAGGCACAGGCTCAATAAACACTTGTCTAATCAATTAATTAATCAATGTGAATATTACATACACAGAGATAAAAGCCCCCACACTGCTGAGGCAAAGGGGGGGCTGCTGAGACAGGAAGTCACTAATAAATGCAGGCTTTCATTCCTTGATAGAACATATTTCAGTACAGGAAAATAAAACTCATGTTAACAAAATACACATTGAAAACACTGTAGTAATGTTTGTCAGCATAACTGCCCTTTTTGATTTGGCTTCTCTTCCTTCCTAGGTGCCCGCTGCCAATCAGGAGTTTTGAATGATGAGCAAGGACGGTGCAATGACTCAGAGGATAGAGTTGGTGTGTGAGCCTAGCTATCTGGGTTCGAGCCCTAGGATCCACATAAAGGACAGAGGAGGGAATGAACTCCATAAAGATGTCCTCTGACTTCTACATCACGGCAAGCCGGACCCACCCACTTACAAATGAGAAATATCAATAGAAACGCTGGGTGTGTTGTGTGTGCCTGTCAGGCCAGCCCTGAGGAAGGGAACTCAGGGAGAATCTGTGGGGCTCAACCAACAAGACAAGGCTACTCAGCAAGTTCCAGGCCAGTGACAGACACTGTCTCAAAAACGTAAAACGCTGCACGGCACCTAAGGACATGCCACTGAGATTGCTTCTGGCCTCCATACACACATGCACCCACATGCTTGTGTATCCACACATGTGTGCTCCCATCCACACACAACATGCAATACTTGTACACACATGAGTTTAAGACTAACAATGAAAAGTGGAATAATCTTAATTTACTAATTCTTTTTGTATGTCCTGATAAAATAACGTAAGGGCTCTGCCCTTTCTTCTCTTTCTCTCTCTCTCTCTCTCTCTCTCTCTCTCTCTCTCTCTCTCTCTCTCCTTCTCTTTCTCTCCCTCTCTTTCTCTCTCTCTCTCTCTTCCTTCCTTCCTTTCTTTTTTCTTTTTCCTTTTGCATGACTGGAGATGTACCTGAGGCCCTCCCGTATGGTAAGCAAGCTCATGACCACTGAGCCACACCACCCATCCTTCCAGTTAAGCAAGAAACAAGTCTAGCTTAAAATTCCTGAGCCAGTTCTCAAATCTATCTGTCGTCTGTCTGTCTTTCTGTCTGTCTATATATTTATATATGTATGTATGTATATATAGTCTATATCATATATTTAAGAGAAAAGACGCAGACAGACAGAAGCTGTTAGGAAACTAGAATTTGAAAACAACATAGAGATGATTTCAAGGTATGGACAGACAGGCAGGAGATTATACAAGCCGGCAAGATAGTCATCTTGTCCTTCGGGAGATAAAGAGGAAAAACGAACCACAGTGACAAGGTTGCAGACCACAGTGGCTTTTCCAAGTACTAACTCGCCGATTCTTTGCAGCTTAAATCCAGGCCTTTCTTCCCATGTCCACCTGACCCAGATGCTCAGCAGAGTCAAGTTCAGTCATTCTAGCATCCTAGCTCATCTCTCCTTTACCCAAACATCAACCCTATAAGGCCCTCCAAACTTAATGCCCTTTGGGAACACCTCCTACTCACAGGTCTATGCCTGGCAATGCCAGGAACATCGAGTCCACCATGATCTCCTGGACTGAGCAGCTCAAAGTGTGAATAATCAGAGGTGTTGCTGGGACGCCCTCTTACTTCCTCGGCTCGTCCAAACCCTGCTGTTCTTGAAAACATTAAGTCTTAGCCCATGTTTTCTGTGAAAAGATCTTTTCCCCTGATACACACACACACACACACACACACACACACACACACACACGCTGGGACACGGGCACTGTCACCTACTGGGTCAACTAGTTGATTTGCACGCCCACAGAGTTCCCCCCAGTGGCACTCACCTATCACATCCATAAGCTACTTTTTGGCATCCATGGGATTGTGCACATTTTCTTCTCCTCTGCAAAATCTTGAACTCTTAAAAAACCGGGGCTGGCTTGCATCCCTCACTCAGAGCCCAGCACAGAGCCGTGCATACTCTAGGCATGCAGTAAAAGTTCCCACTGATGTATAAGTAAACTTGGGTTGGGATGGGTCATCACGTGACTCTACGTTTTTTTCACCTCGTTAAAATAAGCTTTGTGATGATGATTCCAAGTTAGCAGGATAAACACAGTCTATGTTTTCACAAGTCTGTGCGGCAGCTTTTAAAAGGTCTGGGAAATGGAAAGTCACTTTAAGACACTTCCAGATGCTCTGAGCCATGCTTCAGCCCCACCTGGATTTCAGGTAATCAGGAAAAAAAAAAACATGGCTTTGGTATGGCACAGGGGACAACTAAGACTGAACCATGACAGCTCTCCGTGCAGGTAGGCAATATTAATAATACATGTGGATATTAATAATACATACTAGATGTCTGAAGATGCTGCCAATCAACTGTGTTACCCACCCCTGTTTTTAATGGATGCCACCAAAGAAAATTAAGCCACAAAAACTCCACATTAAAGGCAGCTAATGGCTTAATTTTAATAAGATGAAAGGCAAGACAGTTTCAAGTCCAGGCGGATCAACCATGCCTGGCGCTCTCTGAGTAACATTCCCTGTAGGCCACAACACGGGAGGACAGGAGAGTCAGGAAACGTGCCTACACTGGGGTAAGGCATGGGTGCTAGGCAACAGCAGGGTTGATGAGGGCAAAGGGAGGTCACTTCAGCTGCAGCCATATCTCCTTCTTCTGCAGTCCCGTGAGGAAGAAGCATCCTAACCACCTTTCCTCCACCTATCCCAGGGATGAGCAAAACACAGCATGTGTCTACACAATACTCTGTGTGTGTGTGTGTGTATACATTGTATACCTCTAAAAAGATGTGTACATATCTTATCTATGTGTATATTCATATTTAAATAACTACTTTAGCAAGTAGTTTCATTTGTTGGAGAAATAAAGAGTATTTTCCTGCCCAAAAATAAATAAATAAATAAGTCTTCAATGGTCTAGATACAAACTGCCAAAAGTAAATAACTAATTAAAAAAAAAAAACCTGAGCTTTTATTTGTACCTTTCTGCCGGGCTTCATAAGTTTTTAATAAAGAGAAACGTCAGTCAATTCAGTTACAAGAGCCCGGCGCTCCCTCCTCCTTTGAGATCTAAGGATTCCAGACAGGAAGTTTCTGAGCCCACTCCCAATTTTGACAAACTTGTTGGCAGGTCCTCTTCCTTTCCCCCTCTCCCCTCCTTAACCTCCTTGGGTTCTCATGCAGGGCACACAGCAGTCCTGGGACCAATCGTGATGTCCTCTGAAGAACGTGGGTCTAGCTCCTGCCTCCTGCCTTCCCTGAGCAACGTGAAGAGAAGCAAATCCACAGGTGGTGTCTGGAACCCAGATCTTGTCCTTTCTTGTCATGCTCAAAACCAGTGAGCCCCCTCAGAGTAGCTTTCTGTCACTGACTGAGTGGCTGTGACGATCTCTGCGGAAGGCTGACAATGCTGTCCCCGGTACAGGATGAGGAACGGCGAACGGCGAACAGGAAGTTGTTTAGGAGTTTCTTTATAATTCCAATCTTCAGAAAGAGTTAGGAAGCTTCTACATTGGTGCTGCTCTCCTCCACTCCTGCCTCACTTCCTGGGGGAATTTCAAAGGCATCTCTACACAGTCCTATAGGCTACAGGTCAATGGGCAGTTGCTTCAGGTGTGCTGGATCTGGTTCTCAATGACATTTGGCAGAATCTGGAGCCACACATTCCAGGGAGGGCAGCTAGTGCAGAAACCACATCCCCTGGGTTTTAGGGCAGACTAAGATGAGAACCCAGTGTAATTCAGACCCAGTGGGCTCCATCTTGGAGTCAGCCGATACAAAAATGGGAAGCAGAGGCCTCTGGTAGTCATCCCTCACGGACTGGCATGGGTGTGCTTCGTTCATAAGAGATCATCCTTTCCTCATGGTCCGGTTTCCCATCTCAAACCCCAAGGGCAATCAAAACCAGGATTTGTACGAATGAAGCGGAACAAGTGAATTGGAGGCTGCCCCATCCTGCTCCAGGCTCGAATGAGAGTAAACAAGCAGCTTGCGCCTTCCTCGGCCGCCCTCCCTACTCTCCTTTGCTGTCATCACACAGCTATGCAAGTATCTAACAGGTAAGTAGACTTATTCTAACCACAGGGTGCTTGGAGATGCTAATGGTCTTGCCGGATTGTTAGGTCGTACTGTCCAAAGCTAGAGGCTTCCTGACTTTCTTCTTGCCGCTTCTGAGCAGACAGGGTCATTGTCATCATCTTCAGCAGGACGGTGCATGTTTGTACCCAAAAGCCTGTGTGCTTTTATTACTTTTATACTAAAGCCATGGGATGTGAATTCCTTTCTCTCGGAGTGTCAATTATCTTAAAGAGAGGGAGAGAGCTTTCAAAGTATTTACGGGGAAAGGCAACGTGGTGTTTACATCAAGATCCTCACAAGGTCTGCCCAACCGCTCCCCTCTCCTTTACCTAAACAAATAGAAGAGATGTCAGGGGCTGAAAATCTTCCCTTCCCCTTCCCATGGGTGATTTTGTTAACCTCGTAAATTCTAGGCATAAATCTTCCTTTAGATAATCATCATTTAAAATAGTTCCTTAAAACACTTTATGGCTGTAGTCTCCTCGCCTTGTAGATCTCCAGCTTATTTGTTATCCTTTGTTGTACTAAAACAGGAAAAGAAACACTGCACTGACAGGCCACGCCGCTGACCCAGGCGGACTGCAGCCGTTTATACACTCAGCTGTTCTAGACTTTAAGGAGTCCATAGGAAAAAAACAAATAAAAGGTCTCCACCAGTCCAGATCAGGACTCTACAGTGAAGTCCAGAGATTGGCCAAAGAGGTAGAGAGTGCCCTGAAAGCAGGCTTGGGCATCATTCTGATGGGCACACCTGCTGTTCCCATGAGGAGGATGGGAGGGGGGCACTCCATTGAAGTTGCCTCAGCAGATGCTACAAGTTTGGGTCTTAATTGCCTCCCCAAAGGCCCCTTGTTAAAGGCTTGGTCCCCACTGTGGCACTTTAGAAAGTAGTGGACCGTTGAGAGATGGGGCCTAGTGGGAGATCTTTAGGTCACTGCCCCTTGGAGGGGATAACGAGACTCCAGTCCCTTCCTCTTTCACTTCCTTGTTGTGGGCTTGGTCCTCCACACATCCCTTGCCCGTGACATGTTGTCCCATCACAGGTCCTAAATCAATGGGGCCAAACTGATCAGGGACTTGGGGCATCTATAACTAGGAACAACAGCTACAAGAGCAAAAACAAAATAAAACAACAACCAAAATCAAATGAGCCTTTTCCCTTCACAAACTGACTGCCTTGAATATTTGTTACAGTAACAAAGAGTTAATTAACAGTACAGATTTCCTGCCCTGATTGGCTCTGGAGGAGCTTGGACACAGGAAATGGCAGGACTTACACTCTGTGAAGAGGCAGAAACTGTCTGAAGTTACTGATCCCAGCCCTTCTGGGGTGGCCCTCCTGTGGGGTGCAGTCATGTCTCCTTTCTGCCTGTGAGTGACAAAAGACTGACTATGTTTCCAGGCTTTTCTACCCCTGCCACGGCTCTTTAAATAATTCTTTTCAAAACTAATTCATTCTATAGAGTGTGTATCCACTTCTGCCAAGATCTCCCCAACTTACCCAGAGGTTGAAGAAATTCAGTGACACAGGCGGTCAACAGGCCCCAGGACCCTGGGAATCTATAGCAGTGGGTGCATGGCTCAGATCCGTGCAATCCCTGTCCTGTTGCTCTGGGCCATGGCTTCCGGCTCCCTCTTGCTTGGTTTGGACTAGGTTTGAAGTTGGTGCTCTCTCTAGGGCATAACATCAGTGTTTGTGCTCTGGGCATCGGCATGTAACTTCAGACCAGTAGGAATTCCTCTGTCTGGCACAAGCATGTGAGCAGGCACACGTGATCATTCAGTCAAGAGAGTCAAACACATGTTACTTCGTCTGGCCCATCATTTCCTAGGGAATACACACACACACACACACACACACACACACACACACACACACACCGTTGCTATTAAAGTAACCCAGAGTAGGAAGGTCACGACTAACACAGGTTTTATAAACATCTTAATTTCTTTGTTTTCTAGCATTTGACTTAGATCCCTCTTATCTTTGAGTTTGGATCGGGGATGTTCCCCAAAGGCCTTTGTGTTAGGGTTCCCCCTGTGGCACTTTTGGGAACAGGACCTTAAGGAGGTGAGGCCCAGGGGATGTTAGGTTTTAGGAGTGTGCCCTTCAGTGAGACCCTGGGATCCCAATCCTTACTGTATCTTCTTCCTGCTGCCTCTTAGCCGTCACCATGGGAACAGACCTAGAGTCCCCATGCAGCCCACTTTGATGCACTGTTCCACCAAAAGCCAAACCACTGGGGCCAAAGGAACAGGAACTGGAAACTGTGGAACCACAGCCCGGAAAACAAAAACAAAAACAAAAAAACAAAAATTCCTTTACTACTTTTCAAAACTGACATGCATTGTCCAGTAATGCAGTACATATTTTAAAAGCCAAAAAAACCCCCACAAAACTGGAAGTTAAGGGCAATTGAAGGAGAATTCTTTATAAATTCAATTTAAAGTAAATTCATTTTCTGTATAAAGACAG